AAAGCCTAGCCATTAAGCTTTCTTGTACAAGAATCATTCAAATCACTCATGTTCTTTTCAATTTACGGAATGTTGAGCACAAACACCGTTTAAAAGTTCTGTCCACGGATCACGAAAAAAGTAAGTGTTCTTTCAGTGAAACGAAAACAATTCTCACAGGGATGCATGTGAATTGTTTTCGTTTGCTGAAAGAACACTTACCTTTTTTGTGATCCGTGGACAGAACTTTAAAAACGGTGTTTGTGTTCAAAATTCCGTAACTTGAAAAGTACATGAGTGATTTTAATGATTCTTGTACTAAAACTACAGAAAGCTCATTGATTGGGCCTTCATATCCTACAGGCAAAACTTCATTCAAAAGTTGGTCCTGCCATTTTGGTTTCGGGTTTTTTTTACTCACCTTGTATTGGTAACCAGCCGAGGACGTATGAGTTCCATATCAACCATCATAATTATGGCGTTGTAAATTTCTGTAATTCTGTCTTAAATTTTGTGCAAGTCTAGTCTAAAAAGGCTTATTGAAACACTCAATGCGCTTTTCCATCCGTGTAGTTTCATATAGTTGTGTGATGTATAATGTAATCACTCAAATCGAACATCTAGCCTAATATCAGCCCTGCCTAGTTACTTGGCTACGGTTCGCAATTACACATATGGCTATGGAAGTAGCTGAATTCACTCCCCAGCGTTGAGAGACAATTTCCATGCTGTTTGTTGGAGTTTAGGTGATATTATTGAAACTTCACGATTGGATCATAGACGTGTGTGTAACTGCCGGCCGTATAGCCAAGTCATTCGACAAACATAATACAGTTGTGATGAACTCGCGTTGATGAATGTATTTCTTATTTCTATAGGTTGGATTACATTGTCTTCTGACTGAACTCAGATCACGGCTAGACGAGGGTTTTCTTATTTCATCTCCGTGGATAATAACCTCACTCTGACAAGTCAGATACAGGAATTTTGTTGTGTTCCTCGAAGGGTTGGCGTTACTTGACATGAACCATACCATGGCGATAAACTGAGGTCTGGCGGTATTTGTGTCAAGATGAATGATTGAGGATGTTGGCGGCACATCTATGAAGATTTGCGGATACACCATGTGAAGTGACTACAAAGAAAGGTGACTCTGAGATGAACTTGAAGTGTCAACGTATTGCATAAATTCTTCATAACAAAAATGTTGATTTAGATGAGCGTCGGTAAATGTACCGTGATGGTATTTTAAGGAACGGAAGCTTGAAAACATATTTACTAGCCAGAATGAATTCTGCGGTCATATTGAGAGAAGAAACAGGTCGCAAACAAGTCGGTGAGCTGACGTCACTGGCTGCTCCGTCGATAAAAACTGGAAACCAGGCGCAACATGAAGAGGTAAATTTTTATACCAACTCATCAATCGCTGAGAAACATGGCCGCCCTTGTACCCCTCTTGAGCAGGTCACGTGCACGGGGGTGCAGCTGGGTTATCCTAAAGGCCCGGAGCAGGATTCTTACTCCAAAGTGACGAGTAAATCTCTGGAACGCGAAAATTGTGGAGGGGGAGGTTCGAGCGGCGCGGGACTGCGGTTACCTTCCAAGCGCGTCACCGTGTACCCACAGCGAGACATTGCGTCTTGGAAGGGGAGACGAGACTTTTCCCTGCCCAGGTTAGACGTCTTGAAGGTACAGCTGGAGAGACGAGGACTTGACGAGGAACAAGGTACCAATCCTAGATCTCTCTCAGTACCTACCTCGGCTTGGCTTCCGGGAGCGTGGGATCTGGGTCGCACGCGCAGTGCAGACTCATATTTTCGACACAGCCAGCGGCCGGGAGAGACAGGATCACATTTCCAGACGCGTGTGCAAATGGAGCGGGCTTTCAACGCGTACGTTAACTCAAAGTCGCAGCCATCTGTACCGCCAGCTAGACCTAACACAAGCACATCCGCGTACAGCTCAAGGCAAGCCTCCGCATCTTCAAACCACAAAGACGCTGCGCATAAAACGCCGACGTTGACTTGGTATAGCGCCCCCAATCGACAGAGAGTGGTACGCCAGTCGCCGCCATGGCGCTCGCTGATGAACAGACGCCCTCGCGGTGTGCGCGCAGACAATAATAACTTGTGTCCGTACCACTGTCGGTGTTGCTTCAATGAAGTCAACGAAATCGAGAGTTGCACGGTGTACAAGATGGACTTGGGGGCTCTGTGATGATAGGCCTACTTCCGGTCTAGAAATTTATTTTTAGTCACTTTGACCATGTAGGTTAGGCCTACGTCTTGGGCTGCATGCTCGGCCCCTCAGTCCAACGGAGACATTGGCAGAAGCTCATTTTCACTACATTTTACATCAAATCAGTATTATGACAGAATTAGCTTAATTTCAGTTTTCCGAGGTTTCTTGTAACTGAAAGGCCCACTCGTCAGTGAAATTTGTATTTAGTTTTATCCTACCGACAAAAGGTACGACATAAACCATTTTTGTTTATAGATATGGTGGAGACCAGTAGGGAGAGGGCGCTGTTTCTTTTGGGTAAACTCTTTCGTATTTATTCAAATTTACCCAAACCAAATTGCGCCCTCCTATTTTGTCTACCATATCACCACAATTAATGGGACATGTATATTGAAATTTTAGATGTACCAAAAAAAATTAATGCAATAAATGTATTAACTTTACGAAAAGCTGTAAGATAATTATTATGATCATTAATTACTAATATCCATGTGCTTACACGTAATTCTTACAACATCAAGGTATACTAAGGGTTTTTTCCCCCGGAGCACTTTACCTCATGGCAAATTATAAACATAATTTGTATCACTGTCCTTAAAGTCAAAGGTTAATAAGCCTTAAGAGATGTGGACGTCATTTATTCCTTTGCCTTTTGATTGACCCACTTTATAGCTGATGTTTCAAATAACAAGGAAGAACCCCACAAAAATGTGACGTACAACGGAGGCTGCATGCGTTTAAAGAATGTAAATAAGAACTTCCAGCAATCCTCCATTATCCTATTTTGTTTGCAGTATGACTGGTATTATACCTTGTACACATCAAAGGCATATATGATCATTGCTTTTCATGCATTTTGTTATTTATTAATTTATTCATTACATTTCTTTACCCAGGGTATGCCCAAACAGTTTAAAACCGGTTTCCATTGACGGCCCTGCATACACTATTATTGATTATACACACGTGCAAAATGAAAGCATACGAGATTACAGCATAATTGCAAAGCAGCTATTATCAATATTGTACAACATTGCTCGTTTCCACCAATAACACTACTCAAAATCCAAAGCCTGTTCAAAACCTAGCCTGTTGAAATTCCATCCCAAGGGATATTACACTTTCGAGAAAAAACCATGGATCACGAAACCAGAATTTGTCCTTAGCACTATATTTTCAAAAATCAGTCAAACGACTGATCGTTGAAAACATTTCTTGATTTCTTCCAAAATTAGGGGCCTACAGCAAGCCAGACGGAATAATTTCACGTGGTGTTTAGTACCAGTACGAACTTTAATCCAAGTGTACAAGCTTTTGATAATATTTTGGTGGTTACTTTTGGGGTAAATGCAACTGAACCTACATGCCTTTAACTCTAGCTTTAGCTTTTAGCTACACATTACTTTAACTTTAGCTATGTTACTGTCCACCTCTTCGCACACGTTTGGTTCCTCTGACAAAATTATGACACGACGTATTAGTGCTCATTTCCAGGATTCTTTCTGAGATTTGTTTGTTAATGAACCTGATGTCGAACGATTTCGTATTGTAGCAAAACAATGCGCAAAACAAAGGACTGGAACTAAAGAAAAACCGTCACATAATAATTCCTGCTGACAGATACAATCGAGTTTTACCCAACCCAAAGCCCATGTTTTCTTGTCAGTGTCGACAATACCAGGTTCACTGCATACTCGTGAACACCACTGAGAGCAAATATCAACCAGCTGCACACTTTAATATTCAATCATAAACAACACACACCGTGGCTAAAACGAAATATATTTACTCAATTTATCGTAATAAGTGCACGTGCGTGACACTGTGTTCCCGCCTGCAAAATGATTAATGACTTCATGTGCAAGAAATATATACAAACTGTGGGCATAAATGTCGAACCTTTGCTACGGAAATCACTGGTATAGCGAATAATTTTGCCGATGTTATGAATTTCAATAGAGTGCACATAACAGTGTCGTGTGGGAGTCGTGGGACTAAAACAAATTGTTCAATATTCAGCAACTGTCTTGTTTAGTCGGCTATTTAATAGTTGAATTACTTATTATTAATAACGTTAATAATTAAAAGAGACATTATGAAGTTACATGAGTTACAAATGTATGGACAGTTCAAGAAAGAATCATTGAATATTTCCCTAAAAATCCAATGAAGGAAAATTAAGAGGCCACGAAATTGTTCGACTCAATTGTAAATTTGAGCAAAATTGACATCCTCTGAAGTGATGTACATCTACAATGCTGAGGCAACTTATGTGGCATTGTGTGATAACTTGAAACAGTCTCTCTTTTTTTCAAAATAACAAAAGCCGAGAATTGTATAACACAAGTTAATGATCCGTGATTTGCGGTAGGCCTATCCGGGTGAATCTTTCGCTTGTTGATTTCTTAACAATATTATCTGTCTATGTTTATTCGATCGTCGAATTTTCGATTCGAATTCTTCGTCAATGAAACTCATAATGCCATTATTAAGTGAAGAAATTGGAAAATCAATCCATGTCACTCAGTTCGGTGACCCGTTGACTTATTCGGCGATATAGTGATTGTAACTCTGACCTCGGCAAGATTTGTAATTCAAATCGATCACCATTCATCTATACTTCGCTTCCATCTTGTAAACAGGTCATGTTCCACCGTGGTAGCCCTCAAACTATGGCGCCGTGGCCCTAGTGTCACTACTATGCCATCGATCGTGTATGGCGTCGCCCATGACAACCGGTCCGCCATTGTTATTCCAACGAGCTACGTGGAGCATGAATTGTAATCTAATTCAATAGTTGACTCGTTGACAAGTCCGTGTCATTGTAGTAAACGGGTTGTATTGTTCACTCGAAGAAAAAGAAAAATCCCATAACAGCACAACTTATGTGTAGTGTGGATACCCGCGTGCAAAATGGCTACCGGTGTTTTAAAAACTGATTGAAAACTTCCCACAGGGTTTAGAACAGCACTGGAGATACACGGCAGGTTTCAGCGCATGCCCAGCACATTGGTGTGTGGAGTAATTGTGATTCGGGTTTATATCACAACTTGAACATCTGGGACAAGTGCCACTTGAAAAGTGGTCGGGTCATGACATGTACTCTTTGATCGTACTTTAGAATGTGAGCGAGAAACTTTGCCCGCCATGATGACTGTTGTTTACCGTCGCACCGCGACACTATGTGCGGCACTCTGCGAAATGTTGGCAGTCGACATGGATGACTAAACACGAGTATGCTTCCGTGGCCAAAATGGTTGACTAAGAAGGTAAAAGCAGGTTTCATTCTTTTAGCTTGGAATATGGGTCTGAACATATAGTTACCATTATTATTATTTATACAACATTCACTGGAATTGTTTTTATCCTCAGTATTATCACATTGTGCATAGGACGGGATTATACATTATTTTTTGAGTCCGCAAATGCACGTGCGTTTCTGACAGTTGCAGTATATGCATGTGATGTTAATCGTTTATTTTGTGATTAAGTGTAATCGAAATATGACATGGTTCATATACACAGCAGCTATTTGCAGTTTGATTATATTATGGTTGGAATTATTGAAGTAACTTTACATAAATCATCAAAAGATCTATCCTTGTCGACATTGTCGACATTGATACAGTATCGAACTGGATTATAGGCCTGTGTGACATTGTATATGTCTTGCTCTCAGTTCCAGTAAACAGGATCTCTTCTATTTCTTCTTTTTTATTCAAAGGGATATGGGACCTTGTGCAGACCACCAGCTTTCAAAATGACATCGTAGACACCAGATAAGCAACTCAAACTAAGATAAAATATGGCCGCCATTCGGATTCAAACTGGTCAAGAAAGCCCTCCCCCAACGCCCGAACCAATGGACATCGTCTACAATGCGAACATGGTCATGAGTTCGGTGGGGGATGGTCAGTGGAGACCCATGAGTTCCATCAGCCGAAATGGTCTGACGACGGATTCCAGCGAGCCAGAGAACCCCGATGTGAACGAGGAGGAAGGCAAAGCGGTGTTCTCTTTAAGGAACAAGTCTAGGGTTTCTATTCTTGAGGCAGATCCCGTGTCAAGACAAGAGAGTCCGCTTCGAGTGCACGGCCTTGCATCCAGTGTGCCGCGCGACCCGCCACCAACGCGGGCGACAAGTACCGTGTCGCACAAGACCACCAACGGGGTGAAACGCCGACTGCGCCTGCGGACCGCACCGGGGAAACTGCAATGTACGACGGAGCTAGACAGGGCGTTTGCCACCATGCATGACCGTACCCGGGTGACGTTCGAAGGCATTAGGGGAAACACGAGAACCACCCTGAATGACGACAGGGTCTGCCGACCTTACAGCGTCTACACAGTGACTAAACAATGTGAAAGGCTCGCTATTAGCCCCTTCGGTGGACCTCTAAACAGCGCAGCCGGTCGGTATCGCGAGAGGTACCTGAACAAGCATCGGCCGGATGTCATACAGGGTACATCTCGCGGATCGATCAAGATCAAATTCCAGAGGTTCTACGATAATCTGGATTTGCTTGCGATCAACGTCAAGCGCACGCCATACGGGACACTGCGCAAACCGCCGCCAAAACAGGCCCGGAAGGTAGAGGAGCAGACAAAATCAGTGCCGACTCAACTGCACAAGTACACCAATGAGAGAGTGGCTAACCTCCACGAATCCATGGGTAGACACCAGGAAGGTCATCCGAGTAATCAATCTGAAGGGAAGAAGCTCGGCGTGATGAGTGTGGAGTACAAAGTTGCCATGGAGGTATCCAGCAACCTGGAGAAACATCGGAGAAGTCGACCTGCCACCCTCCCGGGCATACCAAACTATATCCCTGGGAGAACTGATGCACCGAGACTTCAGAACCAAACTGAGAGACGTCTTACTCCTGGTGAGATGTCACTCAAGGACGGTATCTCGACCAATCTCTACGACCAGGAGCGGAGCAAACGTGGACCGATCAAAGCCATCGAGAAACCGCCCCGGCGAGTCAAGTCTCCTCCGCTCTCCAAACTCTCTCGGGAGAGGTTTCTTCCGGAGGCACAGCAGAGGCGCAAGGAGGGGGAATCTTGGACTCAGCTGAGAATCGGCCGCCCTGTCACCCCTCCAGCGTCGGAATACACAGTCTTCCAGTCCGCGTCATTCGCGACCACCGTCAGACCATTGACAGCAATGACATCACACAATGGTGAATCGGAAAATACTCACAAGACAAAATCCGCCAAACGAGATAAGACTAACGTTCAATCTAACCAAGAAAATGAGACAGAAAAGGCTGATGAGTGTATCGTGCAAAAACCTGCACCCGAAAATGACTCTGCCACAAATGACAATGAATCAGACGATACAAAAACTAATGACAAAATCAGTGAAAACAACCAAAGCAAACCAAGTGAAGATCTCCCTGAAACGTCTGACTGCTCGATAAATGAAAACGCCGCTGACTCTGAAATTACCGGGCAAAATGACGAAACACAAGAAAACAGCACGCCATTGTCCAGCACATCACTGATTGTGACAGTCCCTGGCGATGAGGGCGCTCCAGAGGCTGACACCATGGCGATCGGTGAGGGCGTTGTCGAAGTGATGTCAGAAGACGAGCATGCCGACGAGGGCGCTTCTGAGGCTGAAACCATGGCCAACGAGGAGGGCGGTATTGAAGTGAAGTCGGCAGTAGACGGTGGTACTTGTGTGGACGAGCATGGTGCAATTGAGGATGAAGAAAATACAGCATCCGCAGACCCATGTGGAAGCGAAGAAACAAGCCAACAGGAACATGACAAAACTGTCAATTCTTAGACCTTTATTGTATTCGTCTATAAAAGCTAAATTGCATTTGAACGAATTAATACGAAACATTTGAAAATCTATTCAACAATGGCGAACTGCATGAATATCAAATTAACATATTAACGGTTTTGATTTATATATTTTTGTAACAAAATGTTTTGGACTTTTTGGTAAAGGAAAAGAATAACTTGCCACGCGCGTTTCCCCATTGCTTTTGCATGAGAAATTGAACGAAAAACAAAATCACCGACGTTTAGTTATTGAATAATATTAGTTATTCACAGAATCTGAATAATTGGCTGCCAGACAATAATTCGGCTCTCGCACGGGTTCTACAGAATGAAAGCCCTTTCTTAAAGGGTTGCAGACGCCCAAAATCAGAATAAAATAGAGTTTTCGTCCAAACAAAACATACAAATAAAATATGCGTTAGAACAAATTCCATTGTTTGGAGAGCACCGGGTACACATCTTTAATTCACAGTATACATTTGACTAACATTATGTTTGGCACCATGGATGAGTTAACCTTTGTATAGAGCGGATGGATAGACTTTGAAATGGCACTAACGGTAATATGCATACATGTAATTGCAGTGTTAACACTTTGTCGAACGGTGGAGGGTTTGCACGACAATAATCTGCACCTTAGTTGGTGAACTTAACTTACAATTTTATTTTTGAAATTTGAGTTACATGAATTTTAGCATATGATACGTGCGTTTCAGAAAATAACTTCTAATTAAAAAAAATAATAATTGCCTTGGTTGACAACAGAGATTGTGTGCTGAGCTGTGTTCAGTGTGAGGCCCTTAGCTAAAGCAATGTTAGTGTTCTTCTTTACCCATTTATACGAATCGTATGAAAGAACTTATGCAATTCCAACCTTAACACTGTGCATTTCAATTAAAAGAAGCTCCTGAAAAAATAATGTTTATTTTCAAAAGTGATTGTGTATTTGTCACTTTATATTGAATGTTTATCCCTTAGCACGTACCAAAAATCTTCACATTTTCTTCCCAAACGTAGGAGATTCGCACAAATTGCTGCAAATAGTGTTGTTAAAAATCTATCGAACACTTCCTTTTGCATGTGTGAGCTGAGCCAACACAGCCGTGAATAATATTTACTTCACTTTGAAATAAAAATTTTTTTTAAATAACGCAGTGAAGAATTATTATGCAAGGAATAATAGGGCTTATACAAGAAATGAAAGTGACCCGGGTGAATGAAAGTGACCCGGGTGAAATATTTTTCCCTTACAAAGCAACTAAATTAATCATTAAGGCATGTATTAAACGAGCATGTTCTTCCACACATGAAAATAAAAAAAAAATGCTGAAATGTAGCCATGCTATCAGACTTTATGCGTGTTTTTACAAAAACAACCGTTTTCTTTCATCAGCTGTCCATGGAAAGCTAAATGCTCTAAAGCTACATAAATCAGCTGATTGAGAACCAGAGATTTCATGCAAGGCTAACCCCTTACATTTTGTAATTTCTAGAGAATGTCAAATTTTACCCAATTTTGATGAAAATGCAAGGCTAATTTTACCGAATTTCAGTGATAAAAATGCCCAATTTTGATAAAAATGCAAAGTTAACCAGCTGACATTTCTTAATTTCCATACAAAGTCAAATTTTACCTAATTTTGATAAAAATGCAAGGTGAACCTCTTAAATCTGCTGTTAATTTCCCTAAAACGTCAAATTTTACCCAATTTTGATAAAAGTGCAAGGTTAACCCCTTACATTTGTTAATTTCCCCAAAAAAGTCTTATTTTACCAAATTTTGATGAAAATGCAAGGTTAATTCCTTAAATTTTGTAATATCCGCAAAAAGTCAAATTTTACCCAATTTTGATCAAAATACAAGGTTAACCCCTTACATGTTAATTTCCCAAAAGTCAAATTTTGCCTAATTTCGATTAAAATGCAAGGCTAACCCCTTATTATTTTTGATTCCCAAAAAAGTCAAATTTTACCAAATTTTGATAAAAGTGCAAAGCTAACCCTTTGCTAATTTCCAAAAAAAGTCAAATTTTACCGAATTTTGATAAAAAAGACAAATTTTGATAAAAGTGCAAGGCTAAACCCTTACATTTGTCAATTTTCCCAAAAAAACTCAAATTTTGATAAAAATGCAAGGCTAACCCCTTATATTTTTGATTTCCAAAAAAGTATAATTTTACCAAATTTTGATAAAAGTGCAAGGCTAACCCTTTTCTAATTTCCAAAAAAAGTCAAATTTTACCGAATTTTGATAAAAATGCCCAATTTTGATAAAAGTGCAAGGTTAACCCCTTACATGTTAATTTCCCAAAAGTCTCATTTTGCCCAAATGTTGATAAAAAGCAAGGCTAAACCCTTACATTTGTCAATTTTCCCAAAAAACTCAAATTTTGATTAAAATGCAAGGCTAACCCCTTACATACGGAATTTCTAGAAAAGTCAAATTTTGATAAAAATGCAAGGCTAACCCCTTACATATGTTTATTTCCCCAAAAGTTAGTTTTTTCCAATTTTGAAAAATTGGCAAGGTTAACCCCTTACGTTTTGTAATTTCTGCAAAAAGTCAATATTTCCGAATTTTGATCAAAATACAAGGTTAACCCCTTACATATGTTAATTGCCATAAAATGTCAAATTTTGCCCAATTTCGATAAAAAATGCAAGGCTAACCCCTTACATTTTTGATTTCCAAAAAAAGTCAAATTTTGCTAAATTTTGATAAAAGTGCCTAATTTTGATAAAAGTGCAAGGCTAACCCCTTACATCTGTTAATTTTCAGAAAAATGTCAAACTTTGCCCAATTTTGATAAAAATGCAAGGTTAACCCCTTGCATTTTGTAATTTTCGCAAAAAGTCAAATTTATCCCAATTGTGATCAAAATACAAGGTTAACCCCTTACATGTTAATTTCCCAACAGTCTAATTTTGCCCAATTTTGATAAAAGTGCAGAGCTAACCCCTTACATTTTGTAATTTCTAGAAAAAGTAGAATTTTGACCCCTTTTTAATAAAACCGCAAGGCAAACCCCTTACATACGGAATTTCTAGAAAAGTCCAATTTTGCCAAACCCTTACATTTTTGATTTTCCAAAAAAAGTCAAATTTTACCGAATTTTGATACAAATGCCCAATTTTGATAAAAGTGCAAGGTTTACCCCTTACATTTGTTAATTTCCGCAAAAAGTCAAATTTTACCAAATTTTGATAAAAATGCAAGGTTAACCCCTTGCATTTTGTAATTTCCGCAAAAAGTCAATTTTTCCCCCCAATTTTGATCAAAATACAAGGTTAACCCCTCACATGTTAATTTCCCTAAAAATGCAAGGCTAACCCCTTACATACGGAATTACTAGTAAAGTCCAATTTTGCCAAATTTTGATAAAAATGCAAGGTTAACCCTTTATATTTGTTAATTTCCGCAAAAAGTCCGGTTTTTTCCCCATTTTGATCAAAATACAAGGTTAACCCCTTACATTTGGAATTTCTAGAAAAATTTGAAATTTTGCCCAATTTTGATAAAAGTGCAAGGCTTACCCCTTACATTTGTAAATTTCCCCCCAAAAGTCAAATTTTGATAAAAAATGCAAGGCTAGTCCCTTATATACGGAATTTCTAGAAAAAGTCAAATTTTGCCCAATTTTGATAAAAGTGCAAGGCTAACCCCTTACAATATGTAATTTCTAGAAAAAGTCGAATTTTGTCCACTTTTGATAAAAATGCAAGGCTAACCTCTTACATTTTGTAATTTCTAGATAAAAATTGAAATTTTGCACAATTTTGATAAAAGTGCAAGGCTTATCCCTTACATTTGTAAATTTCCCCAAAAAGTCAAATTTTGATACAAATGCAAGGCTAACCCCTTACATACGGGAATTTCTAGAAAAAGTCAAATTTTACCGAATTTTGATAAAAATTCCTAATTTTGAAAGTGCAAGGCTAACCCCTTACATCTGTTAATTTTGATAAAAATGTCAAACTTTGCCCAATTTTGATAAAAATGCAAGGTTAACCCCTTGCATTTTGTAATTTCCGCAAAAAGTCAAATTTTTCCCAATTGTGATCAAAATACAAGGTTAACCCCTTACATGTTAATTTCCCAACAGTCGAATTTTGCCCAATTTTGATAAAAGTGCAAGGCTAACCCCTTACATTTTGTAATTTCTAGAAAAAGTAGAATTTTGTCCAATTTTGATAAAACCGCAAGGCTAACCCCTTACATATGGAATTTCTAGAAAAGTCAAATTTTGCCAAATTTTGATGAAAGTGCAAGGCTAACCCCTTACATATGTTAATTTTCATAAAATGTCAAATTTTACCCAATTTTGATAAAAATGCAAGGCTAAACCCTTAAATATGTTAATTTCCCCAAAAAGTGAAATTTTTCCCAATTTTGATCAAAATACAAGGTTAACCCCTTACATTTGGTAATTTATAGAAAAAGTACAATTTTGCCCAATTTTGATAAAAGTGAAAGGCTAACCTCTTACACTTGGAATTTCTAGAAAAATTTTGCCAAATTTTGATAAGAGTGCAAGGCTTACCCCTTACATTTGTAAATTTCCCCCCAAAAGTCAAATTTTGATACAAATGCAAGGCTAGTCCCTTACATATGTTAATTTCCATAAAATGTCAAATTTTGCCCAATTTTGATAAAAATGCAAGGTTAACCCCTTACATTCGGTAATTTCTAGAAAAAGTCGAATTTTGCCCAATTTTGATAAAAGTGAAAGGCTAACCTTTTACATTTGGAATGTCTAGAAAAATTTGAAATTTTGCCCAATTTTGATAAAAGTGCAAGGCTTACCCCTTACATTTGTAAATGTCCCCCCAAAGTCAAATTTTGATACAAATGCAAGGCTAGTCCCTTACATACGGAATTTCTAGAAAAAGTCAAATTTTGCCCAATTTTGATAAAATTGCAAGGCTAACCCCTTACAATATGTAATTTCTAGAAAAAGTCGAATTTTGCCCAATTTTGATAAAACATGCAAGGCTAACCTCTTACATTTTGTAATTTCTAGAAAAATTTGAATTTTGCAAAATTTTGATAAAAGTGCAAGGCTTACCTCTTACATTTGTAAATTTCCCCCCCAAAACAAATTTTGATACAAATGCAAGGCAAACGGAGTTTCTAGAAAAAGTCAAATTTTACCCAATTTTGATAAAAATGCAAAGCTAACCCCTTACATTTTGTACTTTCCGCAAAAAGTCACAAATTAAGCAATTTTGATAACAATGCAAGGCTAACCCCTTACATTTTGTAATTTCGAGAAAAAGTCAAACTTTGCCCAATTTTGATAAAAGTGCAAGGTTAACCCCTTACATTTGTAAATTTCCCCCAAAAGTCAAATTTTACTGAATTTTGATAAAAAAGCCAAATTTGATAAAAGTGCAAGGCTTACACCTTACATTTGTTAATTTCCATAAAAAGAAAATTGTGCCAAATTTTGATAACAATGCAAGGCTAACCCCTTACATTTTGTAATTTAGAGAAAAAGTCAAATAATGCCCAGTTTTGATAAAAATGCAAGGCTAACCCCTTGCATTTGATAATTTGCATAAAGATTTTGACCAATTTATTTTAAATGCTTTTAAAGAATTGCAGTTTTCAATCAAATTATCCAAAAAGGGATGTCAAATAGTCATCACACATTTAAGATGATTAGGAAGTTGCACAGAATGTGTTGCTAGAATAATTCATCGTATGCCCTTTGATAATTGAGTCAAGATTGAAACATCCTGTCAGATTTTGTATTTTGTATATGAGGAACAAATTAAGTATTTTGTCGGTGATTTTTCTATGTCCCCCCTCCCCGTTATTTCTTTGCCCCACACTGCCCTCCCCCCCCCCCGAAAAAAGTAGAGTCTGGCGCCGCCAGTGGCCAAACCCAACACCATTATCTGTGTACAAACATCGCCAACAGATGGCGTTTTTCCAAACCTCTGCGAACCAGTGGTTGTCCTTTTTAGACGAATCCGAACACGTGATGACTGTACACTCACAAGGCCCCCTTCAATGGAGAAACCATTGTGCAGGCTATTGTACAAAGCAACTGCCCCATGACGGATTATCTGAACTATAGCTAGCACAATGCATTCGCCATTGAAGGGGGCCTCGGTCATAGAACTGATACCTTGCCCGGATTGGTCAATACAAGAACAGGGTCGTGCAAAAAAAAAGGACTCCCACTTTTGACAGCAATTTTCACCTACTTATTGAGCATATTTGAAAAATTCAATTTAATGGTATTACAAAATTGATCATTAAAACGTAAGTGACGAAAAATGATTGCAAATGTATATTTTGTATCTCAGATATGGAAAAAGTTCATGTGCCAAACCTGTTTGTCCACAGACGGCTTTTTTTTCACCCGCTTGACTGAGCTCTGGAGCTTGATTTGAAGACAAAACAACACTACACTAGACTTACACGTGGACAACAGTGAGTTTAGTGACTTGTATTCCAATTAGCACAAAAACATTGTTCTTGTGATTTGTTTATTAAATTAAAGATATTTTCACCATGTATGGTTGAAAAGCTATACTTCACTACATTATACAAAAAAGTTGAAATAAGTTAAGTAGGTTAACACTCCTGTCAAAGCGGGCTTCCTTCTTTTTGCACCACCATGTACATGTATATCGGTTGTTGTTTTTCTCTTTATTTATTTACAAACTCTTATATTGTTTGAAAAATAAACAGATTCATTAAAAACATTTTTATTCAGCTTCTACACAAAACAAATTCCATTCAAACATCTCAATAACATTTTTTTTTAAATGATAAAATACAAAACAAAATAGCAGTGTCGGGGTGACAACAAAAATAAACCACTGTGTGAATTATAGACTCGCAGCATTCCAAAATCGCTGAACAAATATTTTAGGCAAGCTGAGATATTTGCTAAAACTGATTCGTATGGTAAAATTTACATTACCTACTTTTCCTTTAAGTCAAAGCTTGAAAGTTGATGCGTGCATGCACCGCCTAGGAAAATAAAGGGGGCATTTATTTGTTTTAGTGCATTTATGGCCAGTGTATTCTTTTAAGTAATACGCCTCTGTACTAATGACGTCACACTTTGTTTACGTGTGCGCTTTTCTATGGGGCTACGAAACCGTGGTTCCCACCAGGCTCCCATAAGAAAGCACATATGTAAACAAAGTGTGACGTCATCAGTACAGAGGCTTATTTCCGACAATGGCCTAGGTAAAAATGTAAAGGGGGCGAACCTGTGTCTGCCACGCATAAGGCCATTAAACAGGTCAGTTACTGCATTCACGTAATGGGTAATTGCTCTCTAAATTCCAAGGAGTGAATATTCACTCCATTCGAGTGAAGATTTACTCCCACAGTCGGAAACTAGGGACTAGACGTTTTAGAGTGAAATTCTTTCAATCGTAACACTCGAGTTTTCTCTCGAGCTTCGACTGAGGTGTTCTTTTATAGTCAGACTTTTTCAATTGAAAATGAGAGTGATTTTCACTCTAAAACGTCTAGTCCCTAATTTCACTCTTTAGAATTTAGAGAGTGAATCATACTCGGTTTTGAAAAGCACATTAGGGATTATTTTACTGTTCAGGGTCTTCATCATTTTGTCTTCAATATACATTTGTATATTTTTTTTTACTGCATACTACATTGTGTGCGTCTGCAATCTCCCGAAAAAAGTCTTATATTTCGAGCTGTTAGTGGGCCTGTCATGCACAAAAAGAAACGACTGAAATATTGTCGGGCCACAAATACATGTACAGTGCTCGCTCAATGTCTCATTTAAAAGTAATTAATTTTGGATTGCTATAAACAATCAATTGAAAAAAAGTAAAGTACGTATACATTTTGTATTTCTGGATGAAACTCGAAAATACTCCAGGGACAGAACATGCGAGACATAAAAAGTGACGAAAAGTGCACTTCTTAAATTACAAACGAATGATCAACAGTGGCGTAACTACGGGGGTGGGGGAAGTGTGCCCCAAACGTGCCCCAAGCGGATGTCCGTGCCCCTCCCCCTTCCCGGGTGTCCTACCCCTTTCGAAATCTTGAATTGATAAAAATCCTTATTTTGCAATGATGCGTTTTATTTGTCTTCAGTGCACCCTCAGGTAGGCCCAGCGTTGTAGTCGGGTACATTTTCATGAGTACGAGAACAAGAATTTTTTTTCTCCAAGAGTACGAGTACAAACAAATGTATGTACTCGGATATGAGTAGCTTGTAGGAGAAGTTTTTAATGTGTCACGTACTTTCAAGGGTTTTTAGTATCAAATGGCATGAAACACATGAAGAAACATCCCAAACAGTAAAAAAAAAAGGCTCTTTTCCGCATACGGTAGTTCTTTAATTTAACAACGTTCTTACGGGAGAACATTTGCAAAAGTACGAGTACTTGGTCATGCGCGTACGAGCACTGGTATACAAGTGCTATCATGTACGCTGTACAACACTGGGTGTCCCCCCCCCAAGTTAGGTTGTAGTTACGTCGCTGATGATCAATGCATGATTTATAATGGTCGTATACTGAAAGCAATAAGGACCTGCCAACATGACATTGTGCTTCACAAATAACCAAGGACTGGCCTATTCAATTTGTAAGACGTGCATCAGTAGCTGCTTTATATCAGTTTATCTGCTTCGTTTCGAAAAGTACTGGATATTTCCGGAACTAATTCTACATTTGCAGTGTTTCCTCTTTTTTTTGTATTCGACAAAAAGTCAAAGAACAAAAAAAGTAGGCCTAGATTTTATTGATTATTTCGTGTGCTTTACTATGGTTAACGATTCGGCAATTTAACTCGGCTCTCCAAACAGGGTCATTCAAACTGTACTCGACTAAAACACAGCGTTAAAACAGAAATAAATCAAGGTATCTCTCTAAAAAAAACAAAGTTGATTCAACGTGCAAAACCTTTCGAGTTTATAGAGGTCCCCAATCTCATATCTTCATCTAGATTTCAGTTTTCAATCAGCTGTCGTCTTCCTCAGAATCTCCTTCATCCTCTGCATTCTCGTCTTCGTCCTCATCCTCATCTCCCTCGTCTTCTTCATCCACTTCTTCCCCCTGATACTTTCGCGTCTTGAACGTCGCCATGGACTCCAACCTCGTCGACATGAGGCTGCCCAGACTGTTTTTGCTCGACGAGGGCGCCCCTGGGTCGCCGGCACCGCGCCGTCTCTGTGACCTCATCCCGGGCATGGAGTATTCCAGGAAATCCTCTCTGCGCTTCTGCATTTTGGCTTTTCGTTCGTCCATCCTCTTCCGCATCAAGACAAATTTCTCCTTCTCCGTCAGTTCCTTTGGTTTCTCCTCTTCATTTTCCTGCTCAGGAGAATCCGCCTTTTCGGGGTTTTCAGCTGGTGTGTCCTCTAGCTCTTCCGAAACTGGGGGACTTTCACTTGGTTTTGGAGAACGGAGATACTTGGAAATTAAGCTCTTGCGTCGGTCCATGTCATCCAGTACCAAGTCGTCTGAGTTTTCTGGTTCATTGGGAGAGAACTCAAACGTCGGTGAGGGGGTTCTTGTGTCCCTGCCTCCATTAGTGAGATCAGGTAAGAGTTCTTCATCACTCTGTTGGGCAAGGATTGGCTTCTTAGTAATCTTATTACCTCTCTTCTTTCGATTGTCTCTGGCGTGAAACACGCGGCCATTGGTGGGCACGGCAGGAAGCCTCGTAGCTCTGTGCTCGCGTTTAGTCCTGACAGGTTTTGATTCTTTGTTTGCAAAACTGGTCTGTCTGTGGGAAACTTCCGCCTTCACTGTTGTCGTTTGAATGGGTACGCGAGGTTTCCTACTGGCGGACGTTGGTCTCGCTGAGGAGGCCGGCTTCGACCTCTGCTCTGTTTTCATTTCCTCTTCCTCGATGTCGATTCCAAGAATCGTCCAGTCGTTAATGTGTTCCTTCAGGTACTTCTTGTCGAAGAGAAGATCCACTTGAGGACGAGGTTGAACAGTGCTGATGGATTCGTCCGACTGCGCAAACTCGCCGTCTGGATTGGCCAATCGGAGGCTCTCAATGGCTGCCATGTCCTGGTCCTCGACATCGTCCTGTTCGTGTTCATCAAACATCTTCTCGTACCACCGATCCGTCTCTTTCTCGTCAACCAGTGCCTGCGAGATTTCGCTAAAAACTACCGAGTTCTCACGGGCCTTTCGACCCTCTAAATCTCGCCTGATCCCCCATAATTTCTTACACAGTGCCAGGTTCAGCGTGTCTTTTGTCCCAATCAAAACGGGATAGGTCGGCGACTTACTCCGTGGATGAAAGCCGTGTTTGGAAACGTAGAGCACTTTCTTCGGCTCGGGAATGTCCGGGGGTAAAGTGTTTTCACTGACGGGTGAATCTGAAAACTTCGCTGGAAGCGACCTCGGGCGCCGATCGGAAGCTCTGAAAATCCTCGTGGTTCCGTTCACAGTTTCCACCTGAAGACGGGGATTGTTGGCCAGACTCTTGAATGCCGAAGCCCTGTCAGCGAGTCCGTTGCTAGACCCGATAAAGGCAGTCCCAGATTCCCGAGCAGTTCCGTGTACTTTTGGCAGGCTGCCAAATGATACGTCACCAGAGCCTCGATGTGATTGGCCGGTTCGTCCAGCGTAGGCAAAGTCTGCGCATGTCTTGGATCTGCGCAGGCCCAGCGAGCTGACGTCACGGTGGCGGTGAGTGGTCTGTGACTGGACCTGGCGGGAGTAGGAGGTGTGATTTCTGTTGTTTCGGTGGTGTGTCGTCTGCTGCCAAACGCCTGGTGTTGTGGTTGACTGTCGTGATTGGCCAGGCCAACTCCTGTGTCAAATAATTGGGAGAGGAAGGGATTTCATGACAAATTGTTTGATAGAAACTTTACAATACAGGGTGTCTTAAAAAAAAAAAGTTGTGCAAGCAGATATCCTTCTCAAAAACTACTTAACATCAGTATTTCATCGTGATGGAAAATACTCTTGTGTATAATCAGTGAAAATGCAATGGAAATCCGTTCATGCAAACCAGAGATCTAACAGATTGTAAAAGGCTATGGGTTTACTAATGGTGATATCAGTGCATCAGATTGTCATGGGCCTTTTCAATCTGGTGTAAATTAAGTTAACTGTGTAGATCCCATCCCATTGGACCCCATAACCTTTTATAATCTGTTAGCATGAACGGATTCCCATGGCATTTGTACTGAATATACTCAAGAGTATAATTAATATGATCCATCAAGATGAAATACTCATCGGTTAAGTAGTTTTTGAAAAATTAAAGGATATCTGCTTGCACAGTTTTTTTTTTTGGGGGGGGGACCCTGTAAGCCTACACAGGTTTTGCAATGTCTGTTCTCTCTCAAGGTTTTCCCAAGTGAAATGAGCTCATTGTGTTTGATTCTCAGGGTAACATTTTCTCAAGCTCTTCAGTAAACGAGTTCAAAGTGTAGTCGACGCTGTTGTGTGATTTTTAGCTCACGTCGGCATCAGCCTTTCCTTTGGGCCCGCATTGAAGTTCATTATTGGCAAGTTTTACACAAATATGGCCAAAAAATCGCCACCCCTGGTTCGCACTGGAACTTCGATACTCGAGCGGCACGACAGTTGCTTTTTAACCTCAATATCTTGTTTCTTTAAATGAAACTTTAATGCATCCATATTTTAACCTTCATCGTTCTTTTGTTCTGGCTAAACAATCAACCACAATTTTACTTGATCATGATATAGCTGATGAGCTCCTACAGGAACATCACTCAGCTTTTACGTAAACACAATGTCTGGTAAATTCATGTAATCTGTAGCAATGACAACGCTAACATATGAACTGATATAAATCCCCATATAAAAGCAATACCAAGATGTAAATGTCAGGGGCCATCTGTAACGCTACCCGATTCGTGTTTACACTACGAGGTTTATATTGACAGATATCTGTATGTATATATGCAGCCATATTCATGTAAATAGATCTAGTACCCATAATCCTCAAAGTCACTAAATACGACATCGATATTGCCGAGAGGTTAACTAAACAATATGCGCGTTTAGAAGTTTCAGAAACCATGGTATATAGACACTGCTTTGTGTATTAATGTCCAGGCTAAATGTGAACGAAAAAGTGTATTTCTGAATCATCCAGGTATAAAAGCATCAGAAAATCGTTCCGAGTAACCTGAGTCGAAAAGTGTTACAAGAAAATTATGACCACAAATCCAAATGTTTACACATAAATTACATACATGTACATGTACGTTCTGGGTTGAACAAGATAACTGGTGCACGAGTACGTGCACGAAACCGCCAAAATACCATACCGGTGCTCTAAGATTTTGAGCTTAAAAACCGGTGGTTGACATGTCATATTTTTTAAAGAAACAAATTTTGCCACGATCTAATGTGGATGTGACTTTTATTGGCTAAGAAATGGATAATTATCTATTCAGCTAGAAACTGTTATCATCAAAAGAAAAAGTATCCATCGTTTTGTACTAACTAAAATTTAAAAAAAAAATTACAAATGTCAAGATCGTGTTTTTGGAGTTCAGTTTAGGACTTATCTTTTTGGAAGATACCGCCAGAAAAACTGTTCACAATCAAATCACCAAAAGGCTCAATATAATTTTTAGAAGAACATCTACCACGTAATAAATCAAAATTGCACGGTTAAACTAGGACGTTCACAGTCGGACCTTAGATTTTCAGATTTTTAGGATCATTATATTCTTGAATCCGATGAGCTAATTACGGCATGCAAGGACCTGATCCAATCTACCATGTCCAAAATATTTCTAAAAGTAGTCATCACAGCACACGACTACCAATCAGCCCATTTCCTTCATGAGTGCTTACCGAGTGAACCAATCCCCTGCCATAACCTCTTCAGACGGCCCACATCTCAGGATAAATGGCAGACCACAGGTCACACAAGTCACAAACTCCAAATCACCCTGCCTCTCCTCCTCCAAGTTCACCGGGCCCCTGGCTGACTCGCCCCCGTCCCTGCCTGCCGCGGAAACCTCCTCACAGACGGATCTCCCCGCACCGTACGACTGCCCAACCAATGGCGGTAACCATGGGATTTCCTGCTGATCCCGCATGATTTTCTAAAATAGATCCCCGATAATAAATGCGTATTTGACGGCGGGCATTGTGGGTAGGCAGCTCGTTAGCCCCTCTTAAAATCTCATCAATTCTTGATAAACCCAGGGTTCCATTGTTCTACCGTCGCCACTTCAGATCGCTCGGATACAAATCTGCCGTGTTTCCGTGGCCCATTTCTTCGTCAGAAATCACTCTTTGAACACTTGGAGTGCGTCGGCGTGAACGCTCTTTAGACTTCGGCACACTGCTCTCGCATCGTGATCAACACTTAAAATCTCGTTCGCTGTCAGAATGTTGTCGTAATTGCAGTTTTACCACAGTAATGGATAGACATTATTGTCCATGGCCGGCCCATGATAATAGTTGATAGTGGTTAAAATCTGAAAAGACCATCGTAAATGTACGATCCGAAAATAACTCCCACTTTTGGCAGATTGGCAAATATCGCATCTATAGGCTATCGCATCCTCGTTACATAAGTGTGTTGTCATGTCTCGATGGGTTGGTCGATTTGACCGCGACGAAACCAGTAGCTCTGTTCCCAGCATCGACAAAGTCCTCCGTATCATTCCTCTCGTGTCACGTGGTCATGACGTCACAAGATTGGCTATCTACCGAATGGCCGCATACACCCATGTAATTTTAGAATCGCTTTTATCCAAATTTCCGCAGCATTAGTTAAAAAATCAATTTTAATTTGGTCCCGAAAGTACGTTGCGTTTCGGTTAGCCTTGGGTCCATGGCAGGCTTGTGTTACGACCAGTCCAATGAGCAAAAATGAAGACGTGTGGTTGCGCCATAGTAACACAAACAAAATGCCGAAGTATAGACTACCGCAAAATTAACTCTTCGATTCAATTAGCCACATTATCCACTCAATGATGATTGCTTTAATTAATGAATCCACCTGTTTCCAAGCTAATTTCTACTCCGGATATACCATTTGAAACAAGCAATTTGACAAAGTTCAGAGGAGAAAATGGCACACACAAAAAATCAACTGTTCTAATCTCCGGTGACTGGCGAAAACACGGCTGCAGTTGGGTGAACAATGTGGAGAACCACCATTCATTCTTCAGAACATGTAGCCGTTTTGTTGCCAACAATCACAGCCGACGGCAGAAGTCGATATTGTCGCGAGGGAAATCAATAACCAGATGAGCGCTGCACTTTTAGCTCTGATGAAACTAAGCAGCAGTTTGTTGAAGTATCACTTTCCAATTAAACTTTTTTTGTTATTAACTGCAGTGATCTCTTAATTAACAAGTTTGTTAACTGTCATGTAATGTATGTATTACATAGGCACTCTAAAGTTGATGTCAAATAACAGTGATACACGTATTACACACATTTCACCAACGAAAGTGGTTTACAATGAGATACAGTAATGTCAATGTTATATAGAATTGGTGGAATTCTCATCATACCAGGTAGTCGCTGCTCATATGAGATTCGAACCGGCCAGACGACCCCGGCAAGTTTGGTGGTCGAGTGGTACATCATCTGCACCGTAGTCGTGGGTTCGAGTCCCACCGCGAGCTTGTGAATAATGTTCTCACTAAGTTCTAGGACATCACTGTATATACAGTGCTCTTAAATAACGTTTGTGATGGACAAATCTCAATACTTCATCTTAAAGATGTGAATTGGGCCTGTGTAATTTGTATGTTTGAATTGTTAAAAAAACACACAATTAGTTTGTGTTGCCAAATTAACATTAAGTTCGTAAAAACTACGGTTATGGACTATAGTTGCGTTGGTTTTTGGGGCTGTTTTTTTTTTCAACAGGAGTGTTGGGACAATTCTTTCCTTTTGGTGCCATCTAACATATTCAGTGATGTTATAATGATCGGGTGACCTCTCCTATCATCTTGCCCGCCATGCAGTTGCATCTGCCAAGCGCCAATCAATACATACTCTGAGTACTCCACAAAGAAGAACATGGATTGTTGAAAGGGGGTCTTAAAGATCGGGTGTCAACAACATCCAATGAATATTCATGATCTGTGCGAGTTCTGTCGAGATAACAATCATAACACTATACAGTTACTCGTAGAGGGCGCCATAAGATATATATCAAACAGAAACAGAGATGGCCGTCATGTACTACTAGGCCTAGCCATGATTCCTGCAAATTTATGGACGTCGTTTATGGCCTAGCCATGAATCCTGCAAGTTTATTCTGCAAAAATATCCTAAAATACATCTTAGTCTCCTATTTAACTTTCAGTTTTTACCCGATAACCGCCACAAAATTATTTTTTATAAATTTTTATCTTTCTACGACCCACACTGAGTTCTGCTAGTCCACATGTATTTTAGATTTTCGGAAGTGGGAGGTCAGTTTTTGGCACGATATTTCTAATTCACTTCGGACGATTTTTCAGTTTCCATGAATTGAGTTTCAAGTAACAATTTTACAAAGGCCTTTCTCGATGGTGATTTTCTTAAGAAATCAATGTACATGTACCAAAAATACTTGAAAATTTTAGAATTTTTGCATGTTAGTTTTCCTATTCAAGGGTTCCGGAAGCGCGCCACCAGGGGTGAACTTTCAGGCTGTATTCCTGTCAGAATGACCGCTAATTTTTTAAAATACTAATCTTTTAACAGATCAACGTTGAAACCAAATATGTAGACGAATTTGTTTTACAATATAAGTTGTCATCTAGTAAACATTCCCATAGTTGCAAAAGTGTGACTGTGTTGTTAATTAAAAGAAAAAGGGGGAAAGGAAAGTCTGTCATGAGCCAATATGGCCCCTTAGGCAGGTGTTTGAAACGACTGAGAATATGTCTTTTCCCCCTGGAATGGATGGGATGCCAGTCCATCGTAGATATACGCCCCATATAACAGCTAATGTCGGTACCGAATTCTACTCCTGGGTGAAGAGAGGCAAGTGGGGTTAAGTGGCTTGCCCAAGGACACAACATATGGCCAGCAGTTGAATTCGAACCCCCTACCCCCTGATCTTGTGTCACGAACCCTCCACTGCACTATAGGCCACACTCCCATTAGAACAACACGTGATAACACGGATACCCTGTGTTGTTAAAGGACATCTTAAACCGAGCTAGTAAAGAAATTTCGAAAGCACCTCAGATATAACAAACAGGATTCAAACTGTCTCTTTTATCTTCACCAGCTATACTCGAGAGGCAATAGTTCTGAGTAGGGCAATGTCCGATGAATGTTCCATCATCAGATTTTGACCTACAGACAGACTGCTGATATGTTCTTGATGAAACCGCTCTACATAAGATCAACTGAGACAACAAAGCAAGAGCAATCTCCTTTGATGTATCCGTGTAATGAGATATCTGTCACTGAAACTGGTGTATTTTTCTATTTGCTAAAAAAACAGGGTAAGTAGTTGGATTTCAAAAACTGTATACTTTGCTAACAAAACAAAAAAAGCTTGATGCCAAAAGCCGCAATTCCCTAAAAAGTGTTAATCTTTCACTCTCTTTTAGTTGTACACTTACATTCAGTGTTTCTGTGACAAATTACGAAAAAATCTCTGTGAATCAATGTCTTCTATTTGTGTGGTTTCCAACTCCTTCTGTTAACATTGATACATTTTTTTAACTATCAGGTAAACTTTATAGTACACCCGACCCTGTGAAATTTACAAGAAAATACAGGTTACTTTTTTTTTCAAACTGAAAACAATTAATCTTCGGGACTGAATCACCCTCGAAACCTTTCTTTACCTGTCCCAAAATAATTCCGGTCGGTTTGTGTCATTAACCCTTCTCCACGTTGGTGCATTTAATATCAGAAGTTACTTCTGAACAACCAATTTGCAATACATCACGTGCATAGTACATGTACTTTTTTTTATTAAAAGAGTACCTCACCTTCTTTGTGGGGTGTTGCGATGAATACCGTTCACACTCCAACAACAGCGGTTCCCGGCTGGGGGGCCATCCCAGCCCGGGCCGTCCTTAGACGGTCGCCCGTGATGCGTGAAAGCTCTGTTGTCCTGATACGCCGCAGTGATGAGGCCACTGGACTCCCGTTGACAATTGGAACCACTCGTGGCTGTTGTTGGGGCTGTTTTCTCGTGCATTCTTTTGGTTCCCGGTGCCACCATGGACAGATTTTGTTGATACCAGTTGCCACGGTTGCCCATTATTCCAGGCGATAAAGAGCGCATGTGAGTCTATTTAGCGCCCGAACCCGGAGCCTGTCACGCAAATAAAAAAAAAATGGTAAAGATTTGTTGGATGTTAAAACCTACAAACAAATTGCGCTCAACCGTGGGTAAATAATAAGAAATTCCTACACCGTGGGGCTTAACTTTAATTTAAAAACACATGCACATACTTTCGATTTTTTTTTCAGTCTGTGGCAAGCATTTAATTATAATGTCAGCCTTGAGATGGAATGCACTTTAGCAAGCCACCATTATTTCACCATAAACAGCAACATATAAAATCTCGGGTAGGACAACGGACATACTGGACTGGACGGTCCTTGAAGTAATGTACAGTTTTTACGTTATACAACGTCGGAGGACGTTCATTTAAAATGAAACACACGATAAACACAAGCATCGACGTCTTTTTAAGGGCTTACAAATGTAGGAATTCAATTATCGAAAGTGGTAACACAAAAAATCATGTGAACAAAAACGTCTTCCACATTTTATAAAACATGCTGTTCCGGAATAAACGTTTAAAAGTATTTTAAACATAGGATTTGAAAATGACACCGTGGTTTCCTTTAAGATAAGCTCTAAATGTGAAAACTATTTTGTTTGCGGCCATTCGTTTTGCAACGGAAAATTAAAATCCTTTCCACTAGAATAATAACTTCCCCGGTATTTTCAAAGTATTGAGTGACGTACAATCATCTGTACGGTCATCTGTAATCCTCCATACCTGGTTCAATATAGAGTCAATGTGATAACATCCAGCCCAAACATTCTGGCAGATTTCCGTTCAAACACACCGCAAACCTTCTGAAAACATTGGTCATAATTCTTCTCATAAGCGCAGTATGAAGAACTCAGGGATACGTCTAGTTTTCTCTAACGGTTTCAGGCGTTATAATCCACATCACTCCTCCACTAGATGACAACAGTTGTAGCCGACCCGCTGCAACTTGTCACACATCAGACAATCAGCACATCCTTTTCCCAGAGAGTGTACGGGAATGGTTCCCATACATGTAGACGATGTTAGGACTTCACATCATCGTTCACATATTTGTTCCAAGGTGTGTTTTATTTCTCCATGGGTTGACTGACTAACAACGTACATGTAATAATTTGGTCACCTGCTGTATTCCAAGTTTGATCGTCCACTCCAGTTTCAATAAAGTCTCGTGTCTTCTTGGTTTCTTTCTCCCAGAATTAATCTCCGGACACGGTTCCTCAAGAAGTATCGATAAGTGTACAGTGAATCAGGATTAACGACTGGTACCTTAGCGGCCATGAAAGGGGCACGTCACAATGAAAGGACATACAGACGGGGGTGGTTGTTATGAGGAATTTAAGCTGGGCTGGTGTGGGGCAGGTACGGACGTGAATTATTCAGGCGAAGCTTGGAGTCACAAAAGGACGGGGCTTAGCGGTTGTCTCGGGCGGTTTTACGGCCGAAGTGCGGTTTTATGACGGGCCCGTGGCTTTCGATGCTGTGGGTGATGCGCGCTCCTGTTCCAGTTGAAGTGTTTGGTTTTTTTGGTAGGAGTTCTTAATAATAATAATAATAATAATTACCGGCAATGGGGTAATAGGGAGACTTTCCCATAGACTTGTGCACAAAATTTTTCCGAATTAAATGTGCCCTAACCCAATATTCCCTTGTCCTTTTTCCACGAATTTCGGAATTTTTACTAATTAGACCACGAGCAACAAATGTAACCTAATTTCGACAGCAAAATTTTTCCTCTAAAGGGGGGCTGCGCCAATAGGGAGACACCTAGGTGTCTCCCTATTAAGCCCGTGTCTCCCTGCTATCGAAATTTCTACGCTAACGTGTCTCCCTAATACTACTACATTTGTAGGAATAATACT